TCGGCACACGCGGAGCCAGCAGGTCACCGCCCGCCCTTCAGCTCCTGCGAGAGCACACCTGGAATAACGCGTCAGCGCGGGGGCTCCCCAGTTCCCGAAACACGTTGTTACGAGGGAGTTAAACCAGAGACCCGCCAAGATGTTGTGGAGGGCTGAGAGGGTTTCTGGTAGTTCAGCCGTAAGACAAGACAGCGGCTTCTTGCTGGCAACAACTGCCCCACAGCAGAGCACGGGAACAGTTCAGCTCTTGCTGGAGGCGTTCCCCAGGAGAGAGTAAACAGGCACAAGCTGGAACATGGGGAATTCCAGCCAGACGCAAGGAACACTGCAGCTACGAGGGTGCTCGAGCTCCAAAGTAAGCTTTCCAAGAGGCTGAGGAATCTCCACCCTTAGAGATCCTCAATGCTGGACAGTCCCGGGCAACCTGATCAAGTGGGACCTACTTTGACTGGGAGATTGGTGGTCCCTTCCAACAGAAGTGACTCCATAATTAATAACCACTATAAACCAGATTAACTTAACTAAAATATTGGGACCCTGTGTTTTACTTTCTGGACTCATTCTAAATCCTCTAAAACACACTTGATGCTACAAAAGCACATTTGGGTTCATCTTGTGACTAACGGGCCCAAACATACAGGTACAGTCTGGCTTTTTTTTCTTAATCCCATAATCAGTCAAACCCCCCCAAACAAAACCCGCCCCGTACTGCCAGCTCCATTACCACAAAACAAAAGTTGTGGGCAAGGCAAAGGGAACCTTCAGAAGCCACGCACCGTGGAACCCCATCCAAGTCTCACGAGTACATCTGCAAAAGGTCAGCTGAAAGACAGCATGGCTCATCCTTTCTTCAGCTGTTGGCGGCGCAGCCAGCTCCAGGACTGCCCTCACCCCCCTCTGGCACTGCAGAATCACCCAGTACCCAGAGTCACTACTGCACGTATAATCACCATGAAAAAGGAGTCAAGCGTGTGTGGGGGGGGGAGATGTGCACAAAGGCACAGAAGATGTGTTTTCTGAGTTCTGCTAAACACTAATGAATGCACCTTAGCGTTTAATTCCTGTTTTCGGTGGATACAAGAGACCAAGATACCAGGCAAGGACATCCTGACGGAAGCGATAAGCCTTCGTCTTCGACATCATGACTTTGCATCCCATTACATTTGTTTTCGTTCTCAAATTTAATTAGCTAAAGAAAATTAAGGTGAATGAGTGGAACTCACTTTATTATTTTAAAAAAAGCTATAGTATAGTTTTCCCAGATATTTGTGTAACAAAAGCAGACAAAACCAGTTGAAATTTTTTCTGCAAACAGGCTTTTTGTGTACAAAAATACATAATACCAAAAGGACAGCACAGAGTGAAGTCTTTAAAAACTAAAACTAAAAAACAACCCAAAACTCAGCTACAGCATTACTGCAGTCAGACAGTTCCAGGCCTCGTGTCTTCTGCTTTTCCAAATGGACTTCAGACCTTTTAAATAATTCAAAATATGCTCGAAGTTGAAGGATTTGTATGTTTGGGGTTTTTTTCCTTTTAATGTATATATATGTACACACATACACAAGAATAAATTTAAATGGATGTAGGGTAAAAAAAAAAAAAGGCAGCCCCCAAGAAATGTCAGTATCTGTATTTAGTGGAATAATCTTTTGGCGATACCACCAAACCTCGGCCTTTGCGGGCTCCTCTATAAACAGTTTCTATAATGTCAATCATCTCCTGCTTATCTTCCATTGCCCAGTTGATCTTGTTGTTATTACCTGTACCTAAGTCAATCATGATGTGTTTGTTCCTTTGAAGGGAAAGAAAAAAAAACAAAACAACAAAACCAGAGAAGTTAACATGGTGCTATAATTCAGACAGAAACTGTAGAACCCCCACAAGAATGCTCTGTAGGACTGCGAAGCAGCCCTTGTAACACAAGCAGGCTTGTAAAATAAGCCTCAAAGAACGAGCATCCACTCTGTCACTCACGTTGACATTTTACCTCCTGTTTCTAAAGCCAGAACAAAGCCTGCAAACACGCCCCCCAGCCTGCTGCTCTGTGCAATTACCCTTCAGCGTACTCCTCGTTGTTTAGCTTTCTTTCCCACTATGCCGAACACCAGAGAGTTCCACGCTTGTCAGGAGCACATTTTACCTCATCAATGTAGATGCCTTAGCTCCAAAACCCCTTAATACTCTGGGTCTATCTTTACAGCAAGCTTACTGCTGTATTACTGCGGTGGTCTACACAGGGAGTTTCAGATTTAAAACTAAATCCAATCGATAATAAAACGCAGTTTTCACTATCACTAATACCAAAACGCTTTTACTAGGCTAACTGGAAAGCAAGCCCTTCCCCTATTTACTCAGTTTACTCTCCTGTAGAGCACTGAAAATACGCACCAGCACGTCGATAGGCATTTAGAAATAATCCTCTGAGACACCGTATTTGACCCGCAAAGCATCGAACTGAGCTACGTTCTAGAACCATCAGGTACCTGAAGAAAAACATGACGGTACAGGGATCGTACAACTCGTACATCTTGTTGAAGTCTGGTACTTCAGTGATATCCACAAGATAAATAACGGCAAAGTTTTTTACCTAAACAGAAGAACACAGGAGATACAAAAGCAATATATATTACCAAGCCTTTGATTATTTGCATTACTGATTAAAAGACATAAGCTTTCATTATTGCAACACTGACTATATAAAGTCATAGTAAACAGACTTGCCATTATGTTTAACCACAGCCACCAATTAACACAGAGGATATTTTTACATAGAGCCAAGATGCTCATTTCACACCCAGGACCAACTGCAGAGATACCGTGCTAAGCCACTGTCCAGAGAAGCAAGTG